CCGAAGCCTGATGAGAACGGCGGTGGATTGTAGCCGTGCTGAAGCTGTTAGCCTTGGTTTCATGCCTCTGGTCGATGCCTACAAGCCCTGTATTTTCCCAAAGATCCTTACGATCTGTTGAGATTGCATTGCGTCGGTGCAAAGCTAGCGATACGAAAGCAGAAAGCAGAAAGCAGAAAGCAGAAGCAGGATCTCTTGTTCATGCACATCGAGCTAGATACCAGTTGTCTAATCGCTGCCTCGATGTGCAGGCGACCAATGGTGTCGCCGTCACTGACATCACACTCAACGCTCCTATGTTAATTATACTTCTTCATTAAGATTTGCTTACGTCTGAATTCCCAGGGTTTACCACCCGTGGTTGGTAATTTGGTTTTAGAATATAAAGTAGTACTCCACTACTTTCGTAATACTTTGATGTCATTTGTTTCGCACTGTATGGATCTAGCTAAAAAACGCATGAGCTTAACAATTTTCATCTACGAATCTATATTGTGGCATTAATCAATGTTTATGATGCTTACATGTCTAGAGCCACAATAACACAGCGTAGTGTACATGTTACTTGACGCCTGCGAGCCCGATTAGACGATTGTCAGATGCGACCGAACTTGCACTATATTGTACTTGCATTTTTCTCTAAGTGGTTTTGATCACCCCATTATAGTCGCCCAGCAAAACATCCCAAGCCGAGCTCCTGTTGAGTCATCATCGTTACCTCCGACAACAACGGTCGCTGTGCTGCTGTGCCCTGGCATAGACGTCCGGAGACGTCCCGGACCCTGCTCGCCGTGCATCAACGGATTAAGGGCTTGCATGGGGCTCACAGGATACCCAGGGGGTCTGCCACGAGTAAGGTCGACTCTTGATACGTGAAACTGACTAACGTTGCATTCACATTCACCAGCGTGTGCAGAAAGTCCGGGCACAGATCATTAGTATTAAAGAAGCAGAAGGGCTATTAGAAGAGCTGACAATCATCACATCGAAACCTTTTAACGTTAGAATGACCGTTGTGGGCAGTATCGGCCCAGGCGTGTCAAATGGGGTGTCATCATGTCTAGAAAATCTATACATAGCTCAGATGAAATGACTTCCCAGACACCAAGGCTCACAACGTCATGCGGCTGAATTAAGGACACCTAGACCCCGTACTGCGTATTTGGTACTTGGTACTTGGTTCCCACTGCCACTGAACGAGCGACGCATAGCACCTGGAATGGTTAGTAGATTCAGAAGCTCAGCCAATAGCAAGCTGACTCGCCGACCGCAGCGCAGACCCCAACACCTCCAGTGAGCCCTGACTACAGGTTGGTGAGTCATTTAAAACCTCCTGTGTTATATATAAGAAAGTGGCAAGTACATAGTGCTCGGACTGAACAGCAGCAATCACGTCCTCGTAAGAGAACGGCCAATAGAAAACCATTACCCAACCAAGGCGCCACCTAGCGCAACATGGAATTCTCGCCCGAGATCCCCCAACCCATCCGAACTTCCGCAGAGACTCGCACACTACAAGTCGACTTCTCATGGAAGAAACTCGGAGCTCTTATTAGCGAATACAACAACCCACAATCTGACCCGATCTACATTGTTGACTTGAAACGGCTCAAGGCGCCACACCTTATCTTCAAATCAGCAAGCGATGACTCCGCCATCGGGACCGGCACTCTCCACGCCATCTCTATAGACGCCGACTACGAAGTGCACGCCCAAAAAGGCAGCCTAAAAGCTCGAAAGCGTTTCAGAACCGAGTACACCTACCTCTCACGTGCGTTCTCTGACAACGACTCTCCTGTAACCATGACATGGACCGGCAGCTGCGGCTTGAGGACATGGGACTTCGTCTGTGTGGACGAGCAGCAGCTGCCAGTGGCAAAGTTTACAGCCTATCTATGGGCCATGAAGCAGATGGGCAAGATTGAGTTCCTGGGTCCACACGCCGACAGCGACGCGGTGAGAGACGAGATTGTGGTCACGGGGCTGACGCTGTTATATTGTATGCTGCTACGTACGAATAGCATTTTGTCCTTCTTTGGTGCTGTATTCTCCCGACCAGGGCACGATAAAGGTGTAAGACCTGAATCACAGCAGTTCTTGGGGGATAATGATCGGGCAAATGCACAAGCCAACCTGATAGGGCGTTCAAGTGAAACGCAAGATATCGGATGATGCAGGGGTGGATCTCCGGGCTTAAAATATATGAAGTTTTCGAGCAACTTTGAGAATGAGAGGATAGATTTTATGTTGGATTAGTGCCCTGCTAGGCATTAGTTATGCCCAGCCCTGCGTCCACGTGACTTCCCCCACCCGCACACAGTCAGTTGGACTAACTAGCCACTTTCTCCTTCGGAGATGGTTTCTGCAGTTGAAACATCCATCTCATCCATTCCATCAGTGATGTCAAACGCTGTAGTACAAGGAGAGCACATTTAGCTCACAGATCTTGGGTCACATGAAAATTTCTGGGAACAAAGAGACAAATGAACGAACAATCAGGATCACAGCGTCAACAAGGGTGGTAAAAGGATAAATCCAACTCAGCCGTATTCGGTACGCTTGGATCGACGCTGCAAATTGCAAAATCCAATCACGAAGGGACCACAGGCAGATACCTCAAGGGGTTCGACACTGTATTATCCGAGAGGCACGTCAAACTGTTACACGAGACGCTGTCAAGGGTGGCAGGCCAAGCACTCATGCAGCTGAATACAGGATATTCCAAGCTTCGAGGCTTTCTCGTAAGGATTGGAGCGGTGGGAAAGGAGTCGTGCGAGTACCGCCAAGGGAAGGAAGACACGCGACTCTTCCTGCTTCACTGTGGACAATATCAGAATTCCGGGGCTGACATGGTCAAGGAGGCCAAGGATCCCTACCGGGATCATTTGTATTGGGAGCCTAATGTGTCCATGGTCAGAACCCGTGATCAGGCTTGCGTCGAGGACAGGTAGGTTGAGCACAGAGCCTCGTACTTCCCATGCCATGTAGGAACCTCACAGGGACAAGGGACTCTTGACTTTGAGGTAAGCGCAGGTACGTAGTGTATCTGGAATGGGCTGCGGACTGAATCATAGATCCACCGTGGTTGAGAATGGAATGGGGAAGCAAGGGCTAGCTAGGAGTGGGGCCAGTACGTAGAAATATCCCTGAATACTCCAGCTAATAGGATAAATCAGTCACTCGGTCAGTCGGAGCAGCACCATGGCGAGGAAAGCATTGACTATACAAAGCGTCTGATCGTGTGGGTATGGAAAGATATCAAGTGAGCTAGCAACAGAGATCTTTGGCATGTGCATGCTGGTAGAGTCTTGACAGTAATGAAATCCATTCGTCAGCGCACGCTCTTTGGATTCCTGTTCCCCTAGCCAAAGCCTTCCGATCAGCTCCTTTACCCCTATCACTCAATTTCATCTAGAGTTTGAGATTCTCAATCTTCTCCTCATCGTGCTTCCTGCCAAATGCGTTGAACTGGACGTCTAGGAAGATGAAGCACGCGATATCTCCGAGAATCTGCCCTTGCGATGGTGAGGAGAGAAGGTTTGGGCGTGTGTAGCGGTACTAGGCGCATTTCCACACATGGTGGAGCTTGTCAGGTATGGAAGCCGTCCACCTCGATCTTCGTGGAGTCGAGCCCGTGCGATGTGTCAGTCACCTCGAGCGCCTTGTCTATGTCAGAAGCCATGTTTTTTGATTGGCTATAACGGTTATCCGGAGGAGTACAGGAACTTGACGAGAGAGAGAAGATGTGTTGATAAGCTCAAATTTCGAGGAGGCAAACTCAGACTCTAGGCAGAGAGTGACGGTAAAGGGGGAAGTAACAACGCAACTTCACTAGGTCCTCATACCGATATTGGACCTCTTTATATGTGTCTGAAACAACAGCCGCTGGATGCCACAATACCCACAAGACAGCGGTATCAGACTCGGTCACAGATGCTGTTGTCAGTATCCCAGCAGCGGACCAAAGTGGAGCAAGCATGTGTGTAGTCGACCGCGGCTGGGCTGGATTATTAAGAACTGACAAAGCTCTAGTACCAATACCTGGCGTCCTCTATCATGGTTCCATAGCACATCTCCTGGCTAACCATGCTCCAAGTGGGTGAGACGGTATCCCATGTGTTGGGCACAGAAGTGACCAAAGCCCCTTCTTCTTCGCCGAGAACGCGAGCTAGAGACCTCCATCCTTTTTAGTCCTCCTTTGTTAGACGTTGTAAGACAACACGAAGTTGGCTCTTGACGCTGCTATGCGCAGTTGATTAAAAGCGGTATTCAATTGATCTGCTTGGACCGCTAATGGCAGCCCTGAAACATCTGCCCAGCATTCACACCAGGCTTTCTCGATTTGCGCTCTTCTGGCAACGTTGATGGTCGCAGCCCAGGCACCTATAAGACAAAGTGGTATCCATCCAGCCCCTATTGGTTTCCATAGGGAGCCTTCCAGTGAGAGGTTGATGATTCCTTGGGAAAGATGCGACGATTCCTTCTCCAGTACCACATCGTGAGGGTTGTAAGCGTGAAGGATGCCATTAAGTATAATTTCAAAGGTGAGAAAGAGCGCGTATGCTCTTTGGTAGAAGGCATGCAAACGGAGCGGAGGGACTCGGATCT